AAGGAAGAATTTAAAAACTTCCTGAAAACCAATGAAAATGAACACACAACAACACAAAATCTATGGGATGCAGCGAAAGCAGTTCTGAGAGGGAAGTTCATAGCACTACAGGCCTACCTCAAAAAAGAGGAAAATTCTCTAATAGACTATCTAACCTCACAACTTAAAGAACTAGAGAGCAAACAAAAAGAAAACCCCAGAGCAAGTAGAAGGAAGGAAATAGTAAGGATCAGAGCAGAAATAAATGACATAGAGACCAAAAAAACAATTCAAAGGATCAATGAAACAAAAATCTGGTTCTTTGAAAAGATAAACAAGATTGATGGACCCTTAGCTAGACTCACCAAGAAACAAAGAGAGAGAACCCAAATACACAAAATCAGAAATGAAAGAGGAGAGATAACAACTGACACCACAGAAATATAAAAGATTGTTAACAACTACTATGAACAATTATATGGCAACAAATTCGACAATCTAACTGAAATGGACAAATTTTTAGGAGCACATAGTCTCCCAAAACTGGATCAGGAAGAGATAGAAAACTTGAACGGACCAATAACAACAGAAGAAATTGAAGATGTAATCAAGACTCTCCCAGCAAACAAAAGCCCAGGCCCGGATGGCTTCACAGGGGAGTTTTACCGAACATTCAAAGAAGAACTAATACCCATTCTCCTCAAACTATTTCAAAAAATTCAAGAAGAAGGAAGACTTCCAAACTCGTTTTATAAAGTCAGCATAATTTTAATTCCAAAACTAGAAAAAGACACAACAAAGAAAGAAAACTACAGGCCAATATCCCTGATGAACATAGATGCCAAAATCCTGCACAAAATACTAGCAAATCGAATCCAGCAATACACCAAAATAATTATCCACCATGACCAAGTGGGATTCATCCCAGGGATGCAAGGCTGGTACAATATTCGCAAATCCATAAATGTGATACACCACATAAATAAAATGAAGAATAAAAACCACATGATAATATCAATAGATGCTGAAAAAAAGCCTATGACAAAATCCAGCATCCATTTCTGATAAAAATGCTCAGCAGTGTGGGAATAGAGGGATCATATCTAGACATAATAAAGGCCACATATAAAAAACCTACAGCCAACATCATACTCAATGGGCAAAAAATAAAAGCATTTCCCTTAAGAACAGGAACAAGGCAAGGATGCCCACTTTCACCACTCCTATTTAACATGGTACTGGAAGTCTTAGCCACAGCAATCAGACAGGAAAAAATAAATAAAAGGGATCCAAATTGGAAAGGAGGAAGTGAAATTGTCATTATTTGCAGATGACATGATACTGTACATAGAAAACCCCAAAGACTCCATCAAAAGTTTACTAGACTTAATAAATGAATTTGGCAAAGAGGCAGGATACAAAATTAACGTCAAGAAATCGATGGCATTCTTATACACTAATGATGAACTCAAGAAAGAGAAACTAAGAAAACAATCCCATTTACCATTGTGGCAAAAAAATTAAGATACCTAGGAATAAACTTAACCAAAGAAATAAAGGACCTATTCGTAGAAAACTACAGGTCATTGAAAAAAGAAATAGAGGAAGATATAAAAAAGTGGACGCACATACCCTGTTCATGGATTGGGAGAATTAACATCATTAAAATGTCCATATTACCCAAAGCAATCTATAGATTCAATGCAATCCCCATCAAAATACCAATGGCATACTTCACAGAATTAGAACAATTACTTCAAAAGTTCATATGGAACCAAAAAAGACCCCGAATAGCCACAGCAATCTTGAAAAGGAAGAACAAAGTTGGAGGGATCACAATACCAGATTTCAGGTTATACTAAAAAGCCACCATAATCAAAACAGCCTGGTACTGGCACAAGAACAGGTATATAGACCAGTGGAACAGAACAGAGAACCCAGAAATGGACCCAAGGCAATATACTCAATTAATATTTGACAAAGGTGGCAAAAGCATACAGTGGAGTAAGGACAGCCTCTTTAATAAACGGTGCTTGGAAAATTGGACAGCTACTTGCAGAAAAATGAAACTAGACCATCAACTTACACCCTACACGAGAATAAACTCAAAATGAATAAAAGACTTAAATGTAACTCATGAATCCATATAAATCCTAGAAGAGACTGTGGGCAACAAAATTTCAGACATCATATGCAGCAGAATTTTTACTGACACATCACCTAAGGCAATAGAAACAAAGGAAAAAATGAACACATGGGACTACATCAAACTCAAAAGCTTCTGCACAGCGAAAGATACAATCATCAAAACGGAAAGGCTACCCACTGTATGGGAGAGCATAATTGCCAATGATATATCAGATAAGGGGTTAATTTCCAATACATATAGAGTGCTCATACAACTCCACAAAAGGAAGACAAAGAATCCAATTAAAAAATGGGCAGGGAACTAAATAGACACCTCTCCAAACAGGACATACAAATGGCTAAGAAACATATGAAGAAATGCTCATCATCACTAATCATCAGAGAGATGCAAATTAAAACAATAATGAGGTATCACCTCACACCTGTCAGAATGGCCGCCATCAACAAATCATCAAACAACAAGTGTTGGTGAGGGTGTGGAGAAAAGGGGACTCTAATACACTGCTGGTGGGAATGCAGACTGATGCAGCCACTATGGAAAACAATATGGTGTTACCTCAAAAACTTAAAAATTGAACTTCCATTTGACCCAGTGATCCCACTTCTAGGAATATACCCTAAGAAGCATAAAACACCAATCAGAAAGAATATATGTACCCCCATGTTTGTAGCAGCACTATTTACAATCCCTAAGATCTGGAAACAGCCCAAGTGTCCATCAGTAGACGAATGGATCAAAAAGCTGTGGTACATATACACAGTGGAGTACTACGCAGCTGTAAGAAAGAAATATCTCTTATCCTTTGAGACTACATTGAGGTACCTGGAAAGTATCATCCTAAGTGAAACAAGCCAAACAGAGAAAGACAAGTTTCATATGATCTCACTTATTTGTGGAATATAATGAACATAACAGTCTGAGGAATAGGGTAGTCCCAGAGATGCGGAAGTGGGGTACAGACTGATAATCCCCTAAAGAGGTGGGTGTTGGGGAGAGATAAACCACAGAACTTATATGCATGTATGCATGAACAGTGGACATGGACAACAATCTGGGGAAAGGGCAGGGAGGGAGGGGGAGGAGGGAATCAGTGGGGGGAAAAGGAGAAACATCTGTAACAAAAATTAATAAAAAAAGAAAATTGTTTTATTGAAGATAGTAGAAGCCAGGGGATTTCTGAACCACAAGTCCAAGTTTAGAATATCCAGTTGATCTTATATCTGTTCCAACTACAAAAGACGTCTTTACTTCTTTCCCAACCTTTGTTTATGTATAAGAAAAACTCTTGGACACCAAACTTTTTCATGTATTATTCACAATGGAAATGTTCAGAAAGTGATGGATTATAGACAGACATGCTTCAAAATGCAACTTTTTTTTGATCCAAAGGAGGCATATAGTCGTATGTTTCCTAAAGATTTTATACTACTTGATCACCTAAGTGAATAAAGTCTTTAAACTCAAATAATCAACTTGGTTCTGACTTTTTATTCATTTTTTTTTTTTGACAAATAATACAAATATATTTTATTTGAAATAAACAAAAATGCTTACACAGCTCAACAGGTCACTTGGAAGCAAACTCTTGCTTGACTGTATTACTGAGCAAAAACAAAGATGAAGCACAAACACCCTTCTTTTTTGACATGTATATGCAGGTATATAGGAAGACACTACTTTGGTTTTTTAAAAACTGACCTTCCTTTAAGGCCTGGTCATAGAAGTGTAAACAATGTGAATGAATCCACCATTTCAGTTGTCCTAGCATGTCTATGTCACCTGTGTATTCTGAGCTCACACATACACCTGCCAATATACCTGGGAAGGGTTGCTGTATCACAGTTACATTTAAGTTCTTGGCAGGCAGGACTGAGAAGTAATTGGAACATGTTTTACATCCTATTTATAACAAATCACTAGTATTCCCTTAAATAACAGGTTACTATAGAAAGATACTGCCTGGAAGTTATCCTTTTCACTTTGGTTCATTTTTAGGTTTTGTTTGCCATTTACATAGTTGTTCGATTCATTTGCTTATAGTACAATCCTGCCACATGTATTAAAGCATAGATACCTAGTATTTCTTCATCTGCATTTTTCAAGTCTGATACCCTATACATCCCTCGTATGTCAGCAGTTCTTGAATATTAAAAAAAATAATAAATGGGTAAAACTCTGCTAAAAATGCGGATTCTACAACTATAATGGTACTAGATGGGAAGGAGACCACAAGGGAAGGGAAAAGCAAACACGTTCATGGGCAGGGAATGTGGTTCAAGTCTTTGGATTTAAAAACAACTTCCCCAGAGACGCTGGCTATAATGGAATTTCCAGAAAACTTCCTTTGCCCAACAAAAGGACCTGAATAGCCCCCATCCAAACTTTTGAAAACGACAGTTGTGCAACGCTATATGATGATCAAAGCAGTCGGAGGGAGGAGGAGGAATGTGTCTTCCATTTGGCTACAGCTGGTAGCACAGCCACTTTAGCTGTGGGTGGATCAGTATGAACCATGGAAGTACCAGGTGTTTTGAAGGACTGGGGTAGAAAAGCACTGAACATATTACCTGTCTCTATCAGTAACAGGACTTCATGGCTAGGAAAATGTTCTAAACAGTAAAATGACTCCAGGATAGAGCTCTCTCTCCATCATTAAATGTGGCAAAATTAAAAAAAAAAAATTTACAAGTAGATATAGTGAAAACAAAAATTACAAGGCAGAGAACACAAAAGTATCCAGACAATGCTATAGGTTCAACAGTATTCCATGAGGCTAGAAAACCTGTTAACTTTGAAAGCCCTACCAAAATATCACTCTTGTTTATAAATCACTTATTTATCATATGACCATACATTGAAACCTTTCTTTCCACATACTGAAGAATCCTGCATTCAGCCTTTAAGCATTCTGCATTTCTTTGCCAACCTTGTAGCTGAGTATCTTGTTCCAGTCGATTTTGGTGCGGGTGACTGGAAGCTGCCGGCGCAAGGCCTTGAATGTGGTGTCTGACATTGTTTGATAATTTTCACTAATTGCTGTCTGATATTCATTTTCTGAATGTTCTATGATTTTAATAAACTCCTTGGCAGTTTGGACTTCATTCGAAACAGTTACCGAATCCTGTACATCTTTATGACTAACCAGTTGAACATTGCCATCTTCATAATAGTGTACCTGAATCTTAAGTACTCCAACCACGTGGGCTGTAGGTGGTGTGATGGTGAACTTCCATTCTGATCTCCAGCGACCATTCCAGAAGTTTTTAGGCTGAAACTGGTGGCTTTCAATACACGCAATAATGGTCTGTTGCCCATCTATAGTTTTAGCATAAACAGTACAGAAGCCGTTGGAATAATGATCTTTCACATAGGCCCTTAAAGCGCTGTCACAAGATTCTCGCCAAGACTTCAGACCTCCATCTACTTCCTCTGGCTGGGGGTCACTTGCTTCTTTTCATAGGTGATCAAACTTGAAGGAAATTTTGTTTCTGGGATCTATAAATCTGCTATTCCCCAGGTCACCATGTTCTGTAATTAAGACCTGATCTTCATATCCTTCTATCTTCACAGGTGTGAACTGATCCATATTATACTGGGCAAATGCATGTGCCACCCCTTCCCTGAGGAGATTGTCATTATTAAGTAGTAGCCGAACATCGTTGAATACTTCATTAAATTCCCCTGGGGGTGCATGAGTGATGAATTTAGCAGCTATGCGTACCTTCTCTTCATCCGACACCCAATCCTCGAAGTCGGCCATCTTGGGCTGCTCTCCATTTTTTTAATAATATGTATTTTAATTTTCATTAAAGATATTTGGGAATACATGTTGGGTGTGTGTGGGAGGGTGTGAGTGTGATATGGAAGTAAATTTTAATCTAAACCTATTTTGGGGGCACAGTTAGCATAAAAGTACCTTGATGAAGTCTCAATACTCCAGAGGAGACTACATAGAATTTCAAATATTTTTTTAATATCTACATCGGAGTGTTATTAATTAGCAAAAGAAATAGTATAATGAATTTCCATTGGCAAAATAAAGCATGTTTATCGTAATGGTTAGAAAAATTATAGTGGCTTTATTGTTATTACATGAACAGAACACGATAATTTGGCTCAATATCCTAAATACACTTGGACCTTCTAGAACTGTTCTACATGTTTAATCCAGTGATGATGGGTGAACTGCTTGATACTATTCAGAAATTGAGAGTAAAAAGCATTTTAATATTATTTCAGAAAAATGTTTTGTTTTAAATCTAATAACAAAGGAAACACACCAACAAAAAGCACCAAGGATTTGCATTTTTAAAATTTTTATAGTGATTCATTTTTTATAATATTTTACAAAAGAAGTATCAGTCTATGAGAGATTAATTTAATACTACACTGAGACACACTATTCTAGTTCCTTGCTAGTCTTATATGTCCATGTGCACACTTTGAATAGGGATTGTAGTCTTGCATTATAATACTATTGAATCCTCCAAGATGAGAGTCTTTTATGCATGACTGTCACAGTGTCTGAAGACTGAGAAATTTGTGCAACTGTTCCGTTTCTTTCCTTTTTTCTCCCTGCTTGATACTAAATGTTGATATAGTTGCTTAAATTTGACATCTCAAATGTAACCTACTACCTTTCAAACTGCAGTGCAATGTAATAACCCTCCTGGTATCCAAGTTGTGGTTGAGCGGACATGGAACCTGCATTGTCCTCCATATAAATTCCAATATTTACCAAAAGAATGTCCAAGTTGCTAAAATGCTTAATTGGCTCAGGTCATTTTGCCACTACTTTTCCTAGTTCCTAGTTCAATCAGCTTCCTCCAGATTTTCTATTTTTTAAACTATGTAATTTGTTGTTCCTGTTGTTTTTTTTTCAAATGCTCAGAGGTATAGACTCATTATTATGAAGACCAATATAATAATGCACAACATTTTTAGAAGAGCAGAACTATACCTGAAGCTATAAGACACACCCGAAGCACTATCTCTAGGGAGTTATAACTCTATCTTTACTCCCAGCTGCCTCACTTGTCAATTAGCCTGAGCATGACCAAAATAGAAGCAGGCAAATGTGAACAATTCAATACTGACCATAAGTACATATAAAAAAAACACACACACCCTCAGTCTTTGTCATGGCAGAATTCTGCTTCAGTAGTACTTTCAAAAACACAGGATAATAATATGGCAATAACGACTGGCAGCTTTCTCAGATTTAACTGCAGTCTAATCATGTATTAACTTCATAAAAGGTGGATTTCCTAAAAAAAAAAAAAAAAAAAAAAAAAAAATGGCTCTCTGTTGCTGTCCAGAACAGACTGGGAATTTGACTGATATCCTAAATGTAAACTTAAATGATTATCACTTAGATATTTAAAGTTTTTCAATTGCCCCTACTAGGCTTATTACAAGGGAAATAATCACTTCTACAGATGTTTCTCAACACATAATAAATTGAAAAGCATGCAATTCTTTTTCTAAAGTATTTGTTTTGAAATACTTGCTCTTCAAAAATATGGCTATTTTAAAAAATCACTATATTCCTGGAAAAAAAAAGAAAGAAGAAGGAAAGAAGGAAGAAAGGAAAAAGAGGGGAAAGATGAGAGGGAGGGAGGGAGGGAAGAGAGAAAGAGAGAAGAAAGAAAGAAAGAAAGAAAGAAAGAAAGAAAGAAAGAAAGAAGGAAGGAAGGAAGGAAGGAAGGAAGGAAGGAAGGAAGGAAGGAAGGAAGGAAGGAAGGAAGGAAGGAAGGAAGGAAGGAAAGAGAGAGAGAGAGAGAGAGAGAGAGAGAGAGAGAGAAAGAGAGAGAAAGAAAGAAAGGAAGGGAAGGGAGGAGAGGGGAGGGGAGGGGAGGGGAGGTAAGGCTGCTCTGAAATTTAAGGTGAATTATTGTTTGTTGCTCTACCATACACTGAGTTCTGCTTTATAAAATGTTTAAAATGAAAAGCAGTAAAAAAAAAAAAAAAATCTACTAATGCATTAATATGACTCATACTATATAGTGTGAAGTTGGCCTTTAAGCTTTTTGAAAAAAAAAAAGTTTTATTTACCTGACAGTAACATAGCTGCCTTATGTCACATAAACATCTTTAACATGACAATATTATAATGTTAGCAAATTAAAATACAGTAAACCTCATAAATCCCCTTGTATGAAGTCTTTCTAAAAAATAGGCAAAGGCATAATTAACTAAACTCCAAATGTTTCAGTCAGCATCATAAGTTAGTTGCACAGGAATTTGGCTCACAGATGGTTCAGATATTGAAAAGTATATAAAATAGGATATATATTTGCTTATGAAATAAAGTTTTTCATTATTCTAATTAGTAAAATTAATTTTTAAATTAAGAAGACTTTTCCCTATAAATAATGTAGATTTTCTGATTCAATTTAGTTCCAGTTAGTTATTTTTCTAAACATAAATACATCTATGAAAAAAAAAGTGATAGAAACCCAATGTATAATTCTGTAAATTACATGAGAAAAAATATTTTTCTTTAATTTTGCTTCAAGAAAACATTTGAATTCAAGACTTTGTTAAATAATCTTTGATGTTGTCAGTAAGTGGAATAATTTCAAATTATTTCAACAGAAATCCATGACATTTTATAACATATAGATATGTGCAAATCACTCACAGGAAAAACTGCAAATTCGAACATGAATAGCCAGCTCATAAATGATTCATACTTTTTCAACCATTCAAAGCCAGATTATAAAGTTTGAAAAACGAGAAAGTTAGATGAACTAAATTAAATAAAACTCCACATGTATAAACTTCTCAGTTTACAAAGAATTTGAACATGTACTCTCTCATTTCATCTCAAAAACATTCAGGGGTAAGCAAAGCAAAGCAAAGCAAAGCACTGTATTTTTAACCCTATCTGAGGAAGCCAAAGCTCAAATAGGGCAAGTGACTTGAGAAGTTTCACACAATTGGTGTCAACTGATGTTTGATTCACTGGTTCTCTCACATAATTCCTCCCCACATGCCTATGTGTCAGGCAGTGGCCATGTTTCCTATGTGATTGTGAATTAAGGATCCTAGTCCACAACACATTACTAAATTAATCTATTCTTTATAATTGAAAATGGCAGGTAGCTGTGGATATTGAGGGTAATTTTAGCTGTCTCCTCTTTGTTTACAGCACATTAAGCATAGTTTAGGCGGTTACAGCTAGTTTAGGGATCTCAAGGTCCCAATCCTATAACACCATAAACTCTATGGGTAGATTTGTAACACACGTCTGAATTTCCAGGGATTTTCCCTGGGAATTCCAAATGCACAAAAAATCTCATCCCAGAGAAGGAAGGGAATAATAGAGTAATGGATGGGTAAAGTGGATGAACTGAAAATGAAAGAATGACATACATAGAGGACAAATGAAGTGCCTGCTAGTGGTAAGGCACTGGTAAGCTCCTAGCAAAAGCCCGTATCTAAAGGTTTAATTTTAACAAACTGAGCAGTTTCAGGAAGTCACATGTTAATATTATGTCTTGCTTACTTTTTAGACAAGATGCCTACCTTTCATGCATGCAGGTTGTCACTGTCAAGTTAAGATTAAACAGTCTGTAATCCAAGATACATTTTTACTTTTTGACATTTAGTTTTTTCTTGATATCTGGCCAGAGCTGGAAATCCAGCCAACCATGATTTTTTGACAGAATGACAGGAATATGCAAAGCATCTTCTTCTCTGTCTCTTTATATTGGGAGCAGTATAATATCTAAAACAGATCTCCCAAAGTTAGTTCCACAAGATATTAATAACTAAAATGTAAAAAGAAAAACTGTTCCAGGGTCAAATCAGTTTGGGAATCATTGAATAATGCCAAATTTAAGAGTTCTGTTCATTTCACAAGTTTTATGGCCTTAATTATACCAGTGATTAGTAAACCCCTGTTTTTTGTAGAGGTAGAGATGTGTTCCAGGCACACATTATGGGAAATGTTACCCTAAGGAAAGAGTATAGTTATTCTACCTATAATAATTCACCCACAACCAGTCCTGAAACTTAGCCGAAGTTGACACTGTACTGGTAGCCAAGGCTCTCTGTATGATCTGGGCCTCACACATCACTGTATTTTTTTAGACCACTGTCCCTTAAATGGGGATAGAATTGTATAGTTACTAATAGATCAAGATTCCCAGTTCCACAAAAGAACGTATATGCATGTATGCGTAACCGATGGATATAAACAATGCTTGGTGGGGGGCGGGATAGGGAGAAGGGTGTATGTAGGAGAAGAAGAAACATCTGTAACAAAAATAAATTAATAATTTTAAAAATCAGCCACAATACCAATATTACAGTGAACTAATGTAATGATGCATTTAATATCTAATATCTGTGTCAATGGTAAAATTTTCCAAGTTAATTCAAATTTTTAAATAGTTGATTTTTTGAATAACCAAATAAGCTCTACACATGGCAAGTAATTTATACAATTCTTAAAACTCACTTTAATCTATAATTATGCCCTCCCTCTTTTTTCCTTCTAATATTTGTTATTTTTTAAAATACTGAAAAATTTGTTCTATAGAGTTTCCCACCTTCTAGGTTTTTAGAATTGTAACCTATAATATCATTTATTAGGTCCTCATCCCTTACATTTTATATAAACTTGTGAATAGGCTTAACCTTGTTCAGGTTTGATTTCTGGGACAAGACTACTTCACAGGTGGAGTTTTGTACTTCTAACAATAGTCTTGTAATGTCCAAATGTCTCTCTTTTTTTGTGATGCTGACAATAGCCTCTGGT